GGTGAAAATTTCATGTCATTAGCACCTCTAGTAATATATTTACTGAGAAAATGTTGACGTGTTCAATACTTATTTTGCCTGCTGTATTCTCAAATTACATGTGTACAAGCAACATTTTTATCTTCTCTGGTCTCTAGTCACTGAATGGTCTGCAGATGGAGAACTCCACGAGTGGCCTGGATGCAGGGCCTCTGTCAGACCACCTCCAAAGGGGGGCACTGGGTAGCCACGCCAAACTGGAGCGTCAGGGCAGCAAGGGCAGCAAATGTTCCACCCCGCCGCACAAAATCCACAGCCCCCTGGGGAACGCCGACAAACAGAGCTCCGATCTCCACGGACTGCTCAACATTGTGGGTGAAAATAAAAAAAGTGGATAAATTATTAAGTATTTTTAATAAAAAACAAGCGTAGTAACATTTTAACAGTTTTAATCTCACAATCTCATCCAGATTTACAACTGAAAAACACATTATTTAACAGAAATGAAGTATTTTGTGAATGACTGAAATAAAACCTGGTATTCAACCTGATCAGGACCCTGGTGACCAGTCATGGAGGGACGAGTCAAAGTGGATGGGCGGGGCCGAGGAGAACAACCACACACCCCTCAGTGAGAGGAGTCGCAAAGACAAGGGAGGATTCAGGAGCTCCTTCAAGAAACTCTTCAAGAAAAAGTAAGGATCGTTTCTGATGAGAGTAAAAGACACTACTTTTTGTTCTTTCCCAGATCCTGCAGACAAAATCGTCTCGGACACATTATGAGCTGCGTTTGTTGGGAGTCAGATTTGAATATTTGTCACTGAAGCATAAAGTTGATCATTTTCTGTCTTTTTAACAGGACCGGTGATGAAAAGAGGGAGAAAGGAGGCGAAAAATCACGTGAAAACCAAAACAATGCTGAGCATGAAACGGTGGGGAAAACCCCCAAACTGGTTCATCTGGAGCTGAACCGTGGCACTGCTGTATAAAGTTATATACTGAAAGAGTTCAATATCATGTAAAAATCTAAGCCATTAGGCAACATTTCCACTAAATATTTTAATGTGTAAATACGTTTTTTTTTTCTTCTCTTTTCAAGACCGTCCTGCTCCTGGACTTTACACTGAAGGAAGAAACTTGATTTAGTTCATCCTTTGGTTCTTTGTTACATTTATGATTAAATTATTTTCACATTATGTACACACCAATGCTGATTTAGCAGTAAATAAGTGACAAAAGCAGTAATTTGTATAAAACCACATTTTTGCGTTTGTTTTTAAACTTTCAGAGCATGAAGTCGAACACTTTCCTGTTTCTTTCAGGCTTTTACTTAGGTTCAACAACTCATACTTTGCAGGTAGAATTAATTTAAACTCCTAACTCAACATTTTCTTTTATACACTCGCATCTTTTTAGCCTCTTCCTTCCCTAAAATAGATTAGAAATCGCAGACGGGACACCCTTAAACAGAGACATATCACACTTTTAAATCCTTTTTCACATTTAAATCTATATGAAGTGGAACTGCAAAGCTTTGGTCTGAATTCTCTTATTTTAACTCCACAAGCCCCTCTTTAACCCCTTTAGTGCATTTCAGATCAACTCGTTTTGAGGCTGTTTCTTAAATTCAAATGAGGCACTTCACACCCCACCTCCCTCCAGCTTTTAGACCGGTCCATTTCAGTTTGATAGAGGGGTTTACGACAATATAGTGACACATAAAATCATTTAGAAATTAACTGAAAGATGTCAACAAAAAAATAAATAAAATACTTGTACATCCAGCCTTACAGCTGGAGTCTGGACCAGAGCCAGAGGAGAATGAAGACCAAATTTTAGTTGATAAATCCAGACCTTATTTGGAAATCCCATCACAAATCATTTGATGTAACTGTTCAAAACAATGCAGCACCAGGTAAAATACACAAAATACATTTAACAGCTAAAAAAGTGGATTTTGCAGGATATGTCTCCTTTAAGGTCACGGCTCACTCAGCCTTTGATTTGTTCATCATGGTTCTGTGAAAGAAATAAACAAAAAAAACCTGTTTAGTTAAGAGATGGAAACACAAAGTGAGTTGGTTTACAAAGGAAAAAAAACTGAAAACTGGCAGATTAATGCAATTAGTAGTACAGAAAATACAGCCAGAATTAGTTTGAATTATATAATTTAATGGGAATTGTAAATGAT